TTTTTTTTGGTGTGTTTAAGAAATTTTAAGTGGGGTTTATTGAAACAATACCCAGTGGATTGAATGAGAAAACAGCCATGGTCGTGGCGTCTCAGGGGGAAACAAAGAGCAAGAATAAACAATGTGAGAAGGAGGAAGGCTGTGGTACTTGGTAAAGTTTTACCCGTACAGTTTTCGCTGGACTCCTGACCTAAATCAACCCAAAAGAGAAATAAATAATGTATATATAAACATACTTTTTGTCCTTTTTTTATGTAGCCATGTTAAATAAAATATATATAAACATGCTTTTTGCGGGCACATGGGGCACTGTATAATTTGTCTTATTAATTAAGGTCCAATATCCTAAAGTGAAAGGGATTCCTAAAAGGAATTGGTTTGGGGCTTTCCTTTTCTTAATTCAGCTCCCTCTATATAACTCCACTCTCTCATAACTAGTTCACTCAAAGCTCTCATTGGTGTGGTTTGAAGTTGCTTGCTCCAGGCTTTCTTCTCCTCCTCTTCTTCCTCCAAACCAAGATGAAGCTCATGATGAAGCTCTTCGGCAGCGGTTTCAACTCCTCCGAATGCAAAGAGACGGTGGAGACAGTGGCGGTAAAAGCGCGATTCTTGCAAAAGAAGAAACAAGATGAGGTGGCGAAGATGAAGAGTGACATCGCAAGTCGCCTTCGGGCCAGCGAAGACCCCATTACCGGCCCTGCTCATGTCCTTATCAAACGGGTTATAAGAGAGCAGAACGTTTCCGTTGCATACGAATTCATCGAGGCCTTCTGCGATTTGGTTGTGGACAGACTGTCGACCATCAAAGAGGTGAGGGAATGTCCAGAGAACTTGAAAGAAGGGATAAGTAGTCTAGTCTTTGCAGCCAAAAAGTGCTCTAATGAGATTCCAGAACTGGTGACACTAAGGAATATTTTCAGGAAGAAATATGGAAAGACTTTTGTCTCTGCGGCTACGAACATACGACCCAATTGTGGTGTGGATACCACGATGATGAAGAAGCTTGCAGATACAAATCCTCAAGGTGACGAAAAAATGAAAATTGTGCAAGAAATAGCAGATAAATACGGTATTCATGGATCAATGGGTAGAGATTGCAGGAAACAACTGCAATGCTTTGGTCAAAGTAATATAGAAGACCACAAACGTCTTAGCTACCAATTAAGCTAATGTAAAGATTGATCACTGTTACCTTTTTTAATTTTTTTTTTATTTCAATCGAAGTATTATAGTTGTTTCCTCAGTTTTCATGTTCTTCCGAGATTTCCCTATATAATCTGTGGGTATTTTATCATCAATCCTCCATATATGCTGTAACGGAGGCCTACTTATTTTTCTGTTTATATCATAAAGATGTTCACATCTGAATCAAAACAGTGCATTCCGCTCAAAAAATCTCCCCAAATTAAGTTATTGTCCTAAAAGGCATATCCTTAAAATTCATTGGTCAATTTTTGCTCAAGAAATTCTCTTTTCTGGTTATTTGTTTAAATGTTTCTCTTGCATATCACGTACCTCTCTATTCTATTCAACAATTTCCCAGAGGTCAATGATAATCCGTGGCATGCGGTCAATGATTATGTGTTTCTTTTCATGAACTTTAATTAAGCAAATGTGTATTATGTGTCTTTATTACTCCCCGATAGAAAATAATAAAGATTCCGTGCATGTTTGGTATTCTATTTGAATCCAACTTTTTAAATTTGAAAATAGAATTTGAGTCCAAAACTCAAAAAATCTTTCTTTTCTAAAAATAAAAATAAAAATTATAGAAACTATTTTCAAGTTGCATACCAAACAAGTTTTTGAATATTTTTAAAATTTTATATACAAGCGATATTATACTTTAAACTAATCTAAACTACGGGGAGAGAGATTCAAACTCGGGTGCAGAGTGGAGAGCACATCCGCTCTAGTCAACTTGACTAAGTCCATATCTGCACAAGGTTTTGAATCTTAAAACATAAATTTTAGAAGTCCTTATTTTAAGTTTTTGAGTTCCCTACTTGAATATGATACAAAACAAGTTTCTGAATCTAAAAACCAAATTTTAGAACTCATTGTGTTTAAGAAAAATCAGAGTTTTTGAATTCCATACTTAAATAGGATACCAAATGCCCCCACAATTAAAAAAAAAAATATTAAAATTAAAAATAAAAAAAAGAAGAAAAAAAGGCAAAGACCGACTAAACGCAACCAAGATTGAATAAGGATAGGATAGAAGCCTCCTCCGATTCCTTGGAGAAAAAGAGATCGTCAAACCCATATATATACAAATCCAACTCTTCAATTCCACAACATATGACCCATCAGACGACACATTGTCTCTCTTTCTCTTGTTTTGTTAATCGAAATATAAGTTTTGTTTCTGATTGTGGATGCTTAGTTTCCTTATTGAATCTTTGATTTGTTTGGTTAATAGCTGGTATAAGCAAGGGTGGAAGGAGGCTAGCTAGGCTAGGACTATGGAGGAGATGCAGAGGAGGAGCAAGAAGGGAATAATGATGAAGCAATGCAACGAGAGCACAACGCAGACGCAGTTGATGGACCTCCCATTGGAGATCCTCCTGGACATCCTTTTGAGGCTGCCCACAAGATCACTGTTTTCTTTGCTTTGTGTCTCTAAGACCTTGCGTAGCTTAGTCGACTGCCCATCTTTTGCTCACAAGCATTCGGAATATATTGCTACGTCCAATTATGAAGATTTAGACCCGCCTCATATTATGGTTCTTACCAACTCCCAATTAATCACCTTGCGAGCTCTAAATCCGTTGTCGCCCATTAACGAATTTGCCTTTGACATTTCCAACTATATTGGAAACGGATTCAATCTAGAGTTTGAGTTTGTTTCGTACGGCTTGCTTTTGTTTAAGAAGAAAGAGGCAAATCATGAACTCCTCCTAGTCAATCCTCTCAGGGGAGAAGTTCTAAACCTCCCACCACCGCTGCCAGACTGCAGCTATGAATTGTATGCTATGGGATACGATGTCTTGACTAGCACCCACAAGATTGTTCGTCTTTTTGGACCCTGCGGCCACCCGGACCACATGGTGGCCCAAATTTACGTCCTGGGCACAAGCTCCTCATCGTCATGGAGACAAATATCCTCAGTTCCTCCACTACCTTGTTGTCTAAGCAGCAAAGCCAGTGTCTCTGCATATGGAAACATGTACTGGCTAGTTTATGTTCTCTCTTCTGATCTTGAATTGAGAATACTTTCTTTTGACTTCAAAAGGGAAGAGTTCGAATGGACTCCTCATACCAACTTGCCAGACTTCGACCAACGTATTGATCTTCACCTGATTAATTTTAGAGGACGTCTCTCCATTGTTGATGTTTCTGCAATTTCATCACCTCAAAAAAATGACCATGACCAAATTGAGATATGGGTGATGAAAAGTTATAAAAACTTTACGTGGGAAAAAAAGTACGCCGTAAAAATCCATCTTGATCCTTGTTGCATGAAACTATGGGAGACTCCTTCTCATTTCCTTGGTGTTGGGCCTGGTTCTGTAGGTGCTTGGGAACACGGCATCTTTCTCAGAGATCTTAAATCTAAAAATATGGTTGTGTTGTTGGATGTCGATAGTGGTGGCATCAGAGCCGTACAAGTTGGATCATCCTCAATGAGCGATTGTGATGATCTTATGCCTGTCGATGTGTTCAGTTATACCGGAGGCTATATTTCTCTAAGAAAATATGGTGACTTGATGGAAGCGAAGACAGGGGAGGGAAATTTCTTTTCTGTGGGGAAGATGATGCAGAGGTCAATGTTGCCCGGGAATTGTTTTGAAATTGGTATAGGAGGGTTGAGAAGTACACAAATTAAGGTTTAATTGAGTAAACTTCTCTTGATTATTGATTATGATATTTTATATCTTGCTATGCGTATTTTTTTTGAGCTTGAGATACTTTGTATCTTCTCTTTTTTGTTTACATTTTTCATATAATAAGATTTTTGTCTCTTCACTGAACTGCAGGTCTCAAGCCGCAGACTCCATTAGACTCTGCGGATTTGAGAAGCCTGAACTTGTTGAAACTGCAAGCCGACCCTTAGAACTTAATTAGAACCCATGTCAATACTCCACTTGCATTCGATTTAAGATATGAATACAAGTCGAAGCGCTAAAAGAAAAGGATCGGACCACGTGGTCTAATGTCGTATATTCAATTCCCTCTTCCCAATGTCGCTTCTATAAAAAAGACAACCACAACTAACTTTGAATAAAGAAAGAAATAAAGTTGGCAATGAAATGTGATAATATTACAAATAATATGAATGATAAGTATAAGTTACGCATGCATCATCAGGAATCCGGAAAAGAATAACAAATAATATTATTCAGAATGCATGGCAAACAGAATAATTAAAGCTAGCTAGCTAGCTATGAGTCAGTCAGACTCATATCCAATCCTGCCGTGTCATCTTCTGTGGAAAATAATCCCTGGGGAAGAAGTAGAACGCAATGGAGGACAATGCCTCAATTTCTTCCTTGCGCCGGGTGTTGACCATTGTTGTCAGCTCCTTAACCCATTCCGGCTTCTCCTTGACGAAATCTTCTTCCAACAGACGTTGCGCTAGCTCAAGATCAGCCGTACTCATGACCAGTATACACCGTGGAGACAAACCAGTGCTCTCCAGATGACTAGGTCGGAGTCCCAACCATTTTAATTACATCGCATCCTCCTGCTACGAAAAGAGAGAAACTCTTCATCGCAAGTGGACTAGTGTCCCCGACAGCTAACACTGGGAGATCTAACTCCTCCATCTTCCTTACAAAGCCAACCGCATACTCGACTCGAGGGCGGGCTCTCGTGTGTAGACAAAGATACAAGAAAACGTGTCGTCAACCTTATCCTTGGCCAATTCACAGAAACCATTCAGACTCCCACACAATAAGAAGTACTTTGCTTTGCTCTCCATATCACTAACGCGTGCTATCTCGTACGGAATGCCTGTTGCCATAGGGAAACGCGTCAAATGAATCAAATGAATCATACAGCCTTCATAATGGAAACCCACAATACTGCCATCGATTTTATCCTTTTATAATTCTCCTTGTTTTTTTCTCTTTACTTTTTTTTTTATGATTTCTTTATTATCTCAAATTAAGGTTGACCTTCCTTGATGAATTTTCTGGCTCCGCCCTAAGGGATGGTTTTGTCCAACTCAAAGCATATGTGATCCCTTTTCTCCCTATATTTTTATATTGGTCATGGAGCCTGTTATTAGTGTTAGTAAAGACAAAGACAAAACATAGACATCCCTAAATGGCTTGTCTACCACCTTGTTACTTTTCCTTGTTTTCATATTCCTTGTTTTAGGGATGGAAACTCTCCATGTTTCCCTCCATGTCTTGTGCATTGTTTGTAACTAATAATCACCTTGTATACTTGTATATCTAACTCTTCACCAAGTAAGAAATTCAATTGGCAGATTTGAATTCTCTGCAAAACCTATCTTGTTCTTCTTGTTATACATTCTCAACTCTCTCAATTACACTATATTTGGCATGGTATCAGAGCAATCGATTTTGGTTGCCTCTGCATAACCTTGTTCTTGCCTAAATCTCTACCTATCCTTGCCCATAATTTGCTGTTATATTATTCCTACCTCATACTTTGCCTTGCCTCAAAATTGGTCTTGATCACAAGCCCTTTTTTGTGCTCTTGTTTGCTGAAGTTTTAAGCTATTTCTTCCTCTACATCCTTTTATATACTTACCTCATGGGTGACACCAACGACTCCATCAACGACTCCACGGACGACTCCTCTAAAATCGACTCCACCAAGATCGACTCCACAACACCACCACCACCCCGGTCCTCTCATGACTACTCTCCAATTACTCCTGATAAGTTGGATGGGTCCAACTATCCTGCATAGTCTCGTAGTGTTTGCTTGGCCATCACTGCTCGTCGTATGGCTGGTTTCATTAATGGTAAAAAGATTGCCCCTGCCATTGATGATCCTAGCTATGAAGCTTGGGATGAAGACAACTGTTTGGTGCAGTCATGGCTCCTCAACTCCATGACCAAAAATGTACGTGCCTTATTTGATCACTGCTCAACGGCTTATGCGGTGTGGGATGCAGCTCGGAAGACATATACTGTCACACAGAATAGCTCCAAGTTGTACCAACTCCGTCGTCAGTCAGTCACCACCTCTCAAAGTGGTGAACCTGTGAATGTATTCTACGAAAAATTACACATAATATGGCAGGAAATTGACAGCCTCCGTCCC